GGAATGCCACCCAGTGGTCATTTCCTAAATTACTGCTGTCATCTTGGTCACCAAATAACTCTCATGCTAAAACTACAAAGTACTTGAAAAACAATGTGGGTTTAATAGCTGTTGGTAACAATTACCATTAGAGAGAGATTTGCATAAACTTGTGTCCTCTAAGTTGCGATAATGCAGACTTTTTTACCCAATTAACTTTTAGCAGATGTAATAATGCTTAGAGTAACAGTAGAGCTTAAAAGAGGCTCAGTGTTTCCTTAGTCATTAAAAAGATTAGTATTAAAATTGGTTCATGTATTTTTGTTCCAGTATTGTTTCTTATGTATACTTAGATCAGATGTATTGGACTGATTAAAAACTGATTTTATTAATACAGTTTCTGGGATTTTTTTTTTTTTTTTAGGTTATGAAGCAAAATGGATCATCAGAGATATTAAATAAACTTTATGATACAGCAATGGACAAGCTAGAGGGTGTGAAGAAGGATTACGATGCCCTAAGGAAACGCTACAATGAGAAGATTGCAAGCCACAACACAGATCTGAGCCGCCTAGAACAAGCTGAGGAGGAGAACAGACGTCTTCAGAAACAGATTGACATGTTAATGAAGCAAAGGGACACAGCAATACATTTTCAGCAGCAATATTCCTCCTCTCTTAGAAGGTATAATCAGGTTTTGATGCAGGTATTCTGTGAAGGCAGTAACACTTCTAGTGTAGCATCTTAGTTTCTCTGTGGTAGAATCACAAATACTTTTCTAACTTTTTTTCCTGAATTTCTTCTCTAGTGTATGTCATCTTGGTGTGATGAGTGAGGATGTATTTCTGTATGTGAGGTGCTGGAAGGTGTGATGGGGATGTTCATGTGGAGAAACGGTGCTTTTTCTTGAGAAAAGGATTTCCTGGTTAGGGTTTTGGAATTGTATGAGGAATTTGAACCATTGTTTAGCTTATGTGAGAAAGGGATATTCTGCCTTTCAGGCTATGTTTATTCTTACTTGTAGACACAGGAGTCACATGCGACCAAAGTTTTGTTAAACCTCAGTCTTGGTGTTCCACACCAAGTCCTCAGTGGGTGGTGAGGCCATTAACTTGTATATTTTTATCTAAATATATAACCCAAGTCAATAAGAAGGTAAGATTTCTAAAAGATGTTTAGCAAATGTAGATGTTCTTAAGCACGAGGTAACTTTTCACGATATTGGGATTGCAGGGTGTGTGCAGACTCAGACACAGAGCTTCAGGCTGGCAACAGAGTTGCCTGGATGCAGACGTCTGGGGTCTTGCTTTACTGTGAAGACACTGCTGCTGCGAGCAGCACAAGTGCCAGAACAGGAGTGCACAGACCCTATGTCACACCACACTTAACCTTTCTCTGCTCCTCTCTGATACTAAGCCTACGCAGTTACCCATACGGGATAGGAAGAATGCTAATATACATAAAGACTCCAAAGAGCATCTGTGGGTGTGCTGAGAATGTTTTCAGTGACATGTTAGGGATAATATACAACTCCCACAGACCAAAGCCAAAAAACTTTTTCCACATTCATAGGCTTCTAGTACTTCAAAAGGGTGAGAAGGAGCATAGGTAATAACGCTCGATGAATAGCATGTACATAGTTGTGATACATCTAGTTAAGCTATAGGAGAATATAAGAGGCTAAGCTGTGTAATTTAAATTGCCATGGGTTCCTGAAAGTGAAGGGAAGTGCAACATGTACTACAAGAAACATTTCAACCAAGCTGATACGTGCAGTAGCTCAACATATTTGTATTCTGGCCTTGTGATTTAGGTCCCCTTCTTGAGGGCAAGGTATGGTTTGGTACTGAGCAGGGGTTGGTTTTAAGAATTTCATGAAAGGTATTCATGTTCCTGTGAACCAGTGATCCAACTGCATAAAGGTATTTTAACCTGATTTATTTTTGACTGTTTTTCAGTTGGCTTTGGGACTGGACTTTTTTGTTTGTATTTATATAAACTTCTATTGGTGTAATGTTTATACCATTTATTCATAAACAAAGTAGTTTTTCTCTGGGTGACTGATGAAGAATTTCTAAAACTTATTTCAGGTGTGTATATTTTGCAGAATATAAGACTGAACAAACTTGTACTTTGAGGATGAATGGGTCATAAATTGCAGTAGTGTTGTGTGTTTGTTTATTTTTTTAATAATACCAAGTGTAAACACAGTCAAATTATGTTTTAAAGAGAGCAGGAAGAGTAAGACACCAGTGATGGTCTCATTTTAAATTAATCTTTGCTTTCAAAAAATATCAGAGAAGTGTTCAGCCTTTTTTTCTTTTATCTGTAATGTTGTCACAATAATACACAGCATACGAATGATGCCCTAGTGAATAGTTTGCAGATTAGATAGGTGGTATAGCTACCTTGTAATTCCTGTGTGCTAAACCTTACCTTATGCATGTGTCTCTGCATTTTGCATGTGGGCTATGGCACTCAGATAGATCTGCCTGTAGTTTACCATTGCCTTGAAGACTGTCATGGTTTAAAGACAAAGCAGGTAGGCCTGGTGAGGGTTCTTTTCAGTACTGGTTGCTACTTATAAATGCCTGTTTACTGCTACTGACTCATCCAATTCTGCTCCTTGCAACCCATTCACAACAGCTGTTAGAAATGAGCATTCTCTCCAGAAGGCATCTGTGAAAAAGTGACCCAGCTGCCTGTATTTCCTCTCAGGAGGCAATGCAAGATCAAGCAGAGCCAGGGTGTTCCAGCTGGAAGTTTGCTTTCAGGTCGCCTCAATTACCACTCTGAAATATGAATGTCCTTCTATGGCAAAGATTTTCCTTTCTCCCTCTGATACTTCCTCATGATAATATGCTTGTTGTAGTTTGGTTTTATGGGGGTTTTTTTCCTTACTGTTAAATATTTTGTTTGTTTGTTTTTGTTTGGCAAATATTGCCTTAATCTCTTTTCCTCCCTTCTTCTTTGTATCTTTCTAGTGTTAGTCTTGATTGAAGCCTCAAATATTTTGCAAATATACTGTGGGTTCTCAGATGGTGATGGCGTAGTCTCTTAGATTTCTGATACATCCTTGTATTCTGTAGTATATTGCCTTCCTGTTCACATTCTGAAAAGAGAAAGATCCAGATTGTAGTATGTTATGTCTTCTGTACTGCCAGCCCGACGATCTCTTATACTGAAGAATTTCTCAAACAGACTGGGGCAATGGTTTTCAAATTACTGGCAGATGCCTCAGCAAAGCTATGGCAATGCTTTGAATACAGTGAGCTTTTTCAGGGAAATATTTGAAATTCGGTTTACAGCAATTACCTCTCCTTCTCTTGGGAGAGATCTGGCAACATGCTTTATTAGACAAGAAATTGTGCTTTTAAACAGTGTGATATTTGAGAGAGTGTGAAGTCTGATTAGAGGTTTGTGGGCACCTGAAATTTAGATAACCCTAGAAGTCTGTGAAGTTAGGTACAATGTTTCCAACCATGGCATTTACTTGTGCATTTTGGAAAAAACCATGCAAGGAAATCTTAGTGTCTTAATTGCGGTGAAACACTGTTCTTAGGAGAAGTTCCTTTTAAACCTAATTGTGAGCTTGGGTGTGAAATTATATTTCCACTTTTAAGAATGCTTTGTCAACATAAACACTAAAGTCACTACTTAACATAAAAAAATTAATTTATATGTCCTTTGTTGATTGTGCCATATTTCAGTAGGTTGTAGTGATAAAGTACATACGTTTTAGTCTGTGTTAACTGTCAAAAGTACTTTTAAAAAAATTTTAGGCTATTTTGCAATTCAGTTTCACTGGATGACCTACTGATGAAAACACACTCAGTAACGTTTTAATTACCTGGTTTTAGATCCATTGTCTTCATTCTTACCATAAACCCACTTTTATTTTTCCCCATCTAACCTACCTATTGCTAACCTTGTGGCATATTTGGGCATGTGGAAATTGTTCTTCTCTTTTCAAATTTCAGCTTTGTTTTCCTTCTTCCTACATGCCTGTGCTGGGAGAAGGGGTAAACTGCTAAGATGAGCAAAGCTCAAAGCAGTAAAGTTAAACTTATGCTATTAAATAATGTCATTGTTTTGCATTCCTTTTAGAATTGAAATTTACTTTTAATTATTAAACTATTTCTAAATTATTTCTAACAACTTTTGTTTCCCTGAAGAGGTTCTCTAATATCCTTGAAGGTTCACTAATATTCTGAAAGCAATAAATAATCTAACTTCTATTTTGCAGCATTCAGACTACATGGTCTAGGTCCTTCTCTGTGGTTGTGTTTTTCCAATGGTTATCCAGCCAGATCCTTAATGTATGAAAAAGGAAAATGAGGAACAAGTACCTTACTGGAGTTTCTGCTTGGTTTTAGATTTGAATCAGTACAGCAGGAACTAAGCAACGCCACAGCACAAAACAAAGAGTTGCAGAGAGAGATGGAGCGATTACAGACGGAGGTGACAAGGTTCAAAACAATGCAGCTGAAAGCAGCAAAGGATGCAGAAAAATACAAGGAAGAAAGGGATTCAGTTTTCAACGAATACCGCCTCATAATGAGTGAGAGAGATCAAGTAATCAAAGAGGTAGACAAGCTTCAAACAGAGTTGGAGGTTGCAGAGTCCAAGCTGAAGAACACTTCTTCTGAGAAGCGAGTAGCGAGTGAAGAGATGGAAGCTTTAAGACAGGTACTAACCTATTGTTTCATTCTGGAAGAGCATCAGCATACATTGCTGATGCTAGAATCAGAAATCTAAGACTGATTAATGGAAAATAGGAATGCACTGCAAAGAGGAAATTCTATGCTGATGTTTTCCTATAGCAATCCTTTTTACTGTGTATTAAACCTCCATGTTTGAATAGAGTATCTGTCAGTTGAAATTTGCTATTCATTTGACTTTTTTGTTCTCTTGATTATATATCCTTCCTTTGTTGCATTGGTCTTATATGCCTTCTCAAATAATGCTCTCTGTAACAACATAGCTCTAAATATTCATGTTCTTTAACTTCTAACCTCTACAGGAACCACTGGATACTATCTACTATGACTTAAGACGGTACCTGATAAAGTAGTCTCAAATGTTTATGCAAAGCCTGTGCTGACATGCATGTTATATCTCATTTGCCCTCCTCCTACCTTTAAGTGATAAGGATATTTTGAAGATTTTTCACTAGAACTCAGGCATGCCTTAAAGTGTGTGAAACCAGAACTTTGTATTTTTCAGCAATATGTTCTTGAAATGCTTCTATCACAGCCATGTTATAAAGATGCTGTTAAGATTTCCAGAACACAATTTGCTGCTTGGTTTCATTTCAGCTGACATGCATTGACTTGACCCTTGAGTTTAGAAATACTTGATTTAGCATGAAACAGATACGAGCAAACGTATTCCATTGCCTGTAAATCTCATTTTACTCTTTTCACAGCATTGCATCTGAACAAAATGCCCTTCATGAAAAAATTAAGATGTGGAGCTTATTTAAAATAACACCATTGTTGAGGGATGTAATGTGGATTGTTATATATAGCATCAAACCTAACTTCTTGTTTTAAGAACTCGTAGTTTTCAACCCTGTGTATTTGTCATCTAAGAAACTTAGCTTCTGCACTGAGTGAGGTTTTAAAACGTGTTCATACCTGTTTTACTTTCATCTAAGCCATGAAGCCAATAGGAACATGTGTTGATTTCAGTGGAATCAGGGTAGCTAATAAGGAATACTAAAGGAAGTAGCCACAATCGATTGTTCTGCACCAAAGCGCATTAAGGTGGAGGAAATGAAAATTTTAAATACATGGGTATTCCCACTTACCTAGATGATTTGAAAAAGGGTATTTGAATAAGAACCAGAAGTAGCCGAGGGCTGGTGAGCGAGAGGCTAGCAGGGCGCAGACATGCGTTTTTCACAGAAGCAGAAATACTGGTTCTGTAGTGTACTAAAAGGTGTAAAATAGCAGTATGGCGAGTGTTCTGTTAGTCCTTGTTTTTCCTGTAGCTATGGCTGTTCTGCTTGTTAAGCAGGTTTGTTCCTATGTCACATAGTCTTGCTTCAGCTGCGTTCAGGGCTTTTCTAGATCTGGCAAGGTAAATGTTTGAAAGGGTGAGAAAATTTATTGATCAAGTGATACCTTGACTTGAAATAGTGTGGTGAAAGATGCCCCTATGTAAGTGGAATCCTGTCGCTGAATAGTTGGTCTGGTTCTTGCCAAATAGTCTTCAGTTCCCTTGTGATGTACAGCACCTTTTAGTGCCCTATCACATAACACCCATTGACCACTGAAACAGCACTGAATCCATTTAGGTCATTCTAAATGTAGTTTCATCTCTTAAGCTTGTGTTTGTTGGTGTACCTTTTATGTCCCAAAGACATGCAAAAAAGACCCCTGAATTGGAGAAGAGGTCACTTTTTAAGCATTATATCATGAGCAGTTACTGGTGAGGTCAGTCAGTCAATTTCCTAGCTCGATATTTAAGCTCTATTGGTCACATGTGCCCAAACATGATGGGTTAATTTACATCCAAAATGTATTAACTGTCTGGCATTTATTGATGATAGAAGAAATCTCAGGATTTTGCACTGTGAACAGCTTTGGATTAAATTCTCATGAGTTTGGCCACTCAAAGCTAGGGATTAGATGTTATAGAATACCCGCTCTACTTTCCCCAGTGGTGTTTTTGTTTGACATAATCTTTTGCTCCAGTAAATACTTAGAATGTCGTATTTCATCTCGGTGGTAGTCAGCTTTCCCCTCTGTTTAATAGACCTGTTGTATTTTATCCTTATTAACCTATATTCAGCTGCAAGAGCTTCCTTCAAACATAAGAATTTTTCTCAAATTCAGAATCGTTATTCAAACCAAACCACTCTAATATTTCCAAACAGAAGCTGTTCTAGTCAGCGCCAAATGGCACCTTGCCCTGTGCTGTCACATTGCAATTTTGTGCAAATGTTACAGGAAAAAGACAGAGGTGAAATTTTACTACTGACCGCTGGAGGCAATGGCTGCTCTTAACTCAGATAGTTTATACTGAGCATGCTGGAATAAACTGTGGCAATATGTATTTTTTTCAATCAACTTAAAATACTGAACGTCTAGTGTAATGAAGGGCTTGCTAAGACCTTTTCTTCTGACCTGTACTTGATGACTTTCATCTCAGCTGCATATGGGAAAAGAGTATTTTTGTGTAAGTTTTATACACCCATTTAAATGCACATTTCATACAGGTTATTGTTAAGCTCTGCAAAACTATAGACAGTTCTGAAACCTCTCTGCACCACCAGATGGGTCAGGGATTTCCCTCTTCAGAGGGTACTGAGCCACAGGAACTGTTACTGATGTTGAAAAAACTTGAGTGCTCTGGTAATTGACATTCACTGGAAAGCTTAAAGTTCACACAGACATTAATTCTAGTGCTTGTTGGTTACTCTGCAGAAGAAAAAAATCTCTTTTAATATTGTTGCAGAACTGTTTTAACAGCCTGACTAGCCTTATTTAGGTGCTGTATCTCAATTATGTTCGTACAGCAAAATGCAGTTGTCACCTGTGTTTTAAATACTCAGTTTTATTTCTTGCAAACCATAGAGGAAAATAGTCTCTGGTAATCTTTTTAAGATTAAAACATCAGTAGTTTCCAGCTAAGAGTCCTATAAGGACTTTTTTGTAGCCATTGGCTGAATTCTTCTAGGGAGTTGGACCATCTAAAAATTGAGTGGCGTGAAATTCAGCTGTTACAGTTCCTTATCGTTCCAATAGGTAATCTAGTTTAAACTATTTGAAAAGGACAGATTGTATTTTAGAGCTACATTTGCATCACCTTTTTTATTGTGATGCAGTTGAATTCCACATTTAATAAGAAGTACTGTCAATCTGTTTTATGGCATACTTTAGGTTTTTGTCTTTGAATGTTCTGTAGTTTGCACATAGGTGTCTTCCTGGTACATGACTTCAATGTCCTTTTAAAACTTATGTAGGAGCTGTAAGATACTTGCATAGCTGGGCTGCCTAAGTTATTTCAGTCCTATAAAAACGAGGCAGTTGCTTTAAATTATTTGCAGTATTTTATTACCCTTTGCCATATTTAAAGACTTTTTTAAAACGTCAAGTGTGACTGGTAATAACCTTCCCGCGCTTATGTTCCTCAAAACTGAGTGCTCACATATTCTTGCTTACTTTTTACACAGCACTGTGCTAATGTGATGGTGTGAGGTCTTTAATACCACATTTAATATTCTTTCCTAGTACTTACTGGTATGTAATGTGAGCACAGTCCTGTTCTACTCCCACTTTTCAGAACAGTGTAGTGGTAAACTCTATAGGCTTTTAAGGTGTCAGTGTGTATCCAGTGGGAAAGCTGAACTATTTCTTTCTGTACTTAACCTACTGCAAACAATGGATCTTGTTTTAGGAGCTAAACTCAGCTCTGGTGGAAAGAGATCGAGCAATTTGTGAGAGGAATGAGTTGCTGGAAAAATACTGTCATGAAGTGAAGGACAAAGCTGAGGCTCAGAAGGAACTTGACCAAGCTTGCAAGGATATAGAAACAGTGAAGGAAGAGAGAGATGTTGCCAGGAAAGAGAGAACAGAAGCTATCATCCAGAGAGACCATCTACTCAGGGAATATTATCAAGCCCGTCAGGTATTGCAAGTCTTCACAGATGCCTTTTTCTTTCTTAGCTTCAAAGGGTCAGTATTTTTCAAGAGATTAATTAAAGGTGTGGGCACATTGAGTGTTTTCCCCCTTTTCCCTGAGTCACTTTATAGTGCCTACATATAAATGCACGTAGTTATAAAACTTTTTTGAAGGAAATAGTGTCATGTTTCATATTAAGTTTCTGACTGTAAAAATGAAATACTGTTATCCAGCAGGTTGCTAGGCAGTTTATTACCTGCTGGTAGGCTTGTTGCCATCTGTATCATGTGTTGTACGTTCTTATAGTTCTGCACACTTACTGATGCTCTTGTGTGCAGTTCTAAATATTAATGTACAACTGTAAATGCTTACATATCGTGTCATATGAAAATGCATAGTACCACAGCTTTTACACTTATGAAATAACTAAGTAATATGAAATTATTTAATACTAAACTAGATACTTTGAGTTGTTTGCATTGAACTTGTATTGTCTTTTCATTGAATACCAAACTTTTACCAGTACAAAACCAGTTTTTAGTCCTGTCTGTCATACTGGTTTGCAAATCATACACTATTTGTCATACTGATTCAATAATCCTGAATGAGTGTGTGGGGAAACAATTAAACCATGTTTTCAGTTGTACTGGAAATAAACTTCATTGTGTTGGGTTTTTCGTGGCCAAGCCAGTGGGATTTTGGAAATTTGTGCTTTTCTCAAGGAAACTGAGTAAGTTTGGGTGAACTTTGCTGTGACTTAACAATGGGCCTGCTCAGATGCTCACCTTTGGCAGATTCCAAATCAGACTTTACATTTCATGTATAGATGTCCATTGGTCTGAGTATGAATTTTTATTTCGTTTTTTTTGTTTTCCTGCCAATGGGCTAGAAGAGAAGAAAGTGATCCTTGGAAATGAAAGAATCATAGAATCATAGA